CCATACATCATAGCTGGTCTCACTACTGTTCTGTACACCTTTCCTTTGATTCTTGCTGACACTCTTCTGTCACACAACACCCCTGACACTTTTCTCCACCCACTCCAACCTGCCTGCACTCGTCTCTTCACCTCTTTTCCACACTCCCCGTCACACTGGACTGTTGACCCCAAATACCTAAACTCCTGCACCTTCTTGACCTCAGCCCCCTGTAACCTCACTGTTCTATTTCCCTCCCTCTCGTTCAAACACATGTATTCTGTCTTGTTGCGACTGACTTTCATTCCTCTTCTTTCTAGAGCTGACCTCCAACTTTCCAGGTTTTCCTCCACCTGCTCTCTGCTCTCACTACAAATTACAATGTCATTTGCAAACATCATTGTCCACGGCGATTCCTGCCTGATCTCATCTGTCAACCTGTCCATCACCATAGCAAATAAGAAGGGACTCAAAGCTGATCCTTGATGTAGCCCCACCTCCACCTTGAACTACTTTGTCTGACCTACAGCACAATCATCTCACTGCTGTCTTACTTCTCTCATACATATCCTGAACTACTCTGACGTACTTCTCTGCCACTTCTGACCTCCTCATACAGGACCATAGCTCTTCTCTTGGCACCCTGTCATACGCTTTTTCTAAATCCACAAAGACGCAGTGAAGCTCTTTCTGACCATCTCTGTACTTCTCCATTAACAATCTCAGAGCAAAAATTGCATCAGTAGTGCTCTTCCTGGGCATGAAGCCATACTGTTGTTCACAAATATCCACTTCTCTTCTTAGCCTAGCTTCCACTACTCTTTCCCAAAGTTTCATTGTGTGGCTCATCAACTTTATACCTCTGTAGTTGTTACAACTCTGCACATCACCCTTGTTCTTAAAGACTGGTACTAGGACACTTCTCCTCCATTCCTCAGGCATCTTCTCACTCTCTAAAATCCTGTTGAATAACCTAGACAGGAACTCCACTGCTGTCTCTCCTAGACACTTCCACACCTCCACTGGTATGTCATCTGGACCAACAGCCTTTCCACTCTTCATTCTCCCCAGGGCCTTCCTTATCCTTTCTAATCTTTTCAACTTCCTGCTCTATAGCAATATTCACCTCTTCCTCCATTCTTTCCCTTTTATTC